TAACCAGCAATGTTCAGAGACTTGATTTTATGAATTTACATTAAGAACCGTATACCTTGCTGGACCTGAAAAGTTGGGAGTGTAAGCAGCAACGCTTGTGTGAGGAATCCTGTGTTAAGATTCTGGTTTCTGCTGGCTCCTGAACATAATTTTAAGAATGGATCTTGGTTTCTTGCTTGAATTGGATCTCCATCTTAAGCCTGAGCTGGATCTTAGTTCTTGCCGGATCACTATGCATGTTCCAGACTGGGTCTTGGTTCGTGCTGGATCTCTCAACATAATTCCAGGCTGGATCTTGGTTCTTGTTGGGTCCCTATGTCCGATCCAAACTGGATCTTGGTTCTTGCTGGATCTTTCGTCTTCATGTCAAGCTGGATCTTGGTTCATGTTAGATCCTTTGGCTTATTGTCAAGCTGGATCCTGGTTCTTGCTGGGTCTTTCGACTTATTGTCAAGCTGGATCCTGGTTCTTGCTGGATCTTTCGACTTATTGCCAGACTGGTTCCTGGGTTCTTCCTGGTTCCGGAACCAGGAACCAGGAACCGGTTCCCGGGAAGAAATCTTGGGAACCAGGCACAAGTCTGGCTGTGATAATGGACAATGGAAATATGATCAGCCGTTGCATTGTATAGGTATCAGACAATCCTTCACCGACTCTAGCGTAACGTACGGAACATAGCATGTCCCTTCTATGCAATAACTTCTGGTTCCCGGCTGAGATTTGGCAAGTTGTTCAGTTCAGGCAAGAGTTCAGGATCAGTTATATTGTGTTGGCTGCTGAATTACGAAAGCAAATTTGAGCTGGTATTACAAAAAGCTTTGCTAATGCTGCATGCTGTTCACTTTAATATTCTGAAATTATGTTAATTTGTTTAGGGGATGTCGTGCTTCCTCGTGTTACCATTCTCACTTAACCCGTATGACTCACTGACGTGACATTGCTAAAAATTATCACTCCACGATTCTCCCATGACATTTATGAGAAACGTGGTTCAGCTTATGGCGCAAAGCGGCACTTTTCCTAGTGAGCCGACAAAATTCACGACTCACCCTATTTGACTAACGATTGGCTCACGAGCCGATCGAGGATAAGTAGAATACAAGTCTGCATGTAGCATATTAACATTGCTTACGTGTTTCCAAGAGCAATCTTCACATCCCTAATTTTAATTTGCACAACGTAATACAATTTACAGAAGTCAGACACGTGAGAGACTTCTTGGCAAGTTTTCGAGGCAATATACAGCTTAAGATAACTAGCAATTATTTCCTCAACAGCAAGCCAGTTCACTGCCAGTCTTATCCATAACGTGTTAAAGCAATGCAAATCACGATGCTGTACTAGACGCGTGACAGCAATCTGGAACATTTGTATGATGAGGGGGTTTGCCCAATGGAATAGCAGTCAATGCTATGCTTATTTCAAAATAGTAAATAGGGTTTTTAAGATCAGCAAAAAAAAAAAAAATATTAAAGCAATTTCCAGGAAACGCGTCTGATATTGGAAGCATGCGGTACCTTCATTGACCATTAGTTACTGCCAGTTCAGTGATCAAATGCACTGGCAGTACAGCTAATGTTGTGCTCTATGGATAAGAGGGTACTGTTAGCCTTATTCGTCGTAGAATGGCCAGGAGGAGGGAGAGATAGATGTGACACATTACAAACATGCAATACATTCATTGATCATTAGTTGCTGTGGCGGCCACACCCATTCTCCGACCTGCAACGCGGCGAAGAAGCAGTTCCTGGGATATGCGTGCAGATATAAAGGCTCCAGCACTACGCACAGCTGAATTCATGCCAAGGATGTTCATGCATCATCGTGCCGGTTTCTGCAATAGTACATCATACCAAAAGCATAGACAAATAGTAGTCACTTCGCAGCCAGATAATCCCAGGGCATTAAAGCACATCACTCATCATGCACAAGTTCGACACACTAGCATAACTCAGATCCATACACAAACCAAGTAGTGTCCTCAATGGGCTCATGTGGTGCAACGCCGGCTAATCTCGCGGGGAAATCTCACACAAAGGAGAGTAGCAGGAGGTGAAAACGACGCGACAGAGACAAGCAGAAAAGGATGATGAGATGAGTTTAGGGAACAGAATTGAAAATGTATGTCCTCTATCTACAGTTACTGCCAATTCAATGATTGAATTCACTGCCGGTGTAGCCAATGTTGTATTATAAAGGTAAGACAGTACTGCTTGCAGAATGACCAGAATGAAATATAGATGCCTTAATATTTCGGCTGTGTCTTTATCATGACGAATGTCCTTTAATGGCGAGTCACAGCTTTTTTCAAGCAGCCAACATTCAGGTGATTAAACTAGGAGCAATTTTCAGTCATTACTACCCTACAGTGTGCATCCGATTTTAATCGATTAAGGATTAGTTAAGATTTTAATTATAAAGGCAACGCACATCAACGCCAGGCATCACGCGTATATGTAGCCGATTTTAAGCTAGCACACCTCACGCATTAGGACGCTAATCACGTTCGCATAGTCGGTCACGATTAGCTTGCCGAGGCCTTCAGTATCTGGCGTTTGTTATAAGTGGCCTTTTTACATCAGTCTGATGCTCTCTTCATTATCGTCCAATGTGAAATATTCCCTCTACGAATGGACTCACTTATTTTTCTGTCCGGATGGTCCTGTGCTTTACAGACGACTTTGGGCTCTAAAAAGGATACAGGCTCCGTACCTCTCTGGATTTTAGCCTGAGTGTGTTTTTGTCAAAAATGTTCGCCGGGAATTCCCATTACCCAAAAGGAAAACCCATGTTTTGTTTGTTGTCCTTTTGTTCACTACTTGATGCATTGTTTAGAGCCCTGTGAAACGTGTTACGAATTATGTTGTGCTTGGTGTAAATTAAATGCGCAAGGTTCGGAGCGCAGAAGTTCCTAATTGATTAGTGATTTGTTTTTCATTTGATTTGTGTCAAGTTACATTTCACCATTTTATTTGCTTTAAGTTACATTTCACCATTTTTTGTTTTATTCATGTATTTTTATTCATTAAACTAACTCCAGAAAGTACGACCTGATGACTTATCTAGTTAAATGGACCATGTTACGAATTAGCTTGTGCTTAGTGGAAGCTGGATGTCCAGATTCGCAGTGCAAAATTATACGAGAGTTTGTGTTTGATAAAGAGCTCCGTTTTAACGTGGTGCGGTTGTTCTTTTTTCCACCGTCACTAGTATGTTCAAGTATGGGACCCTTTGCCGTACCCTGCATGCTCCATCGTGGTCTAAATTGGAATGCTTCTTGTTCACGAACCCCCCCCCCAAAAAAAAAAACACTTTCAAGGGTATACTACCCGTGCGTCTATGCTCCAGCATGATCATCGATGTATGCAGCTAAGTTTTTAATAATTTCCATACAAATCATTGATAAATCATCGATACACAGCTTGATTTTAATGACCTGGCGGCCAGAGGCTTCGTTTAAAATTGGTTTCACGCCATTAGTGCTACATCAAAATTTCTGCCGACAGGGGTCCTACGACCTCACATCTACAAATGCTTAAACGCGACATTGGTGCTACTGAATACTAGCATTTATCTGTTGAACTGCTGCTCTTAGTTGAAAACATTACTGTTATGCGACAAAGCTTACACTGCAAAAACATATACCTGTCATTTTCTCTACTGCAAATATGTATACCGTCATTACTTATTCATGACATTGATTTTACTGCAAAGACTTATCATCGATATTAGTGTTGCACGACAAAACTTATGCTTTGAAAATGTGTGCTCGTCATTTCTTCCGCTGGAGAGGCATACATAGCTATTACTTAAACAAGAGTGAACTCCTCCTGCAAACACCTATATGCGAAATAAGTGGTACATTATAAAACGTATTTTTAAAAAAATGTATACCAGTCATTACTTCTACTGCAAAACCTTTCACCGCCAGTGCTCTACACGGCACGTCGTCTGCTGGAAAGACTTAACCGCGACATTAGTGCTACAGCAAAAACTTGTGATAAAACTTTTGCTGTACAAGTGATGACAGGTATATGTTTTTTTGCAGCGTGAGTTTCGCCGTGTAGCTCTTATATCTTGCATGTATTTTTACAGAAAAATTATTGTCGCGCATCATTAAAGGCTGTACAAGCTTTTGCCGTGTGTGTAATGACATGTATGTCTGATTTGTGGCACTATTATCGTGACTCCCTTCAAATTAGTCTAAAAATACGATTGCTAAAGGCTAAATAGCTCCGTTTAATCGACAGCTTCGTTCTTATCACAAAATCTCCGGAGCTCTGTTTAAAAAAGTTCAGTTGTTATCACAGGTGGTTCCACTTAAGCAGTCACATGCCTTGCACCAATGGTACTGCATCAGCATGCTAGGGATCTGATTTGCTCTCATATCTTCCAGAAAGCCCAAATATTGCTCTCACGCCTCCGCCTATGCATAGGCCCCTTACAAACCAGTTTTGATCGAGATAAATCCGCCGTTTACGACTCAAGCTATGCGTGCTGCTGGATACATGACTATAGCTGTGATATCACTGGCAGTAAGCTGAAGATCGGAAAGACTCAACTTAATGTTTCTCCGTCCTTCCCCTCGGGGTACGCGTTACAATACCCTAAGCAAAGCAGCTTGTCGATGTTCTTGTCTCGAACATTTCGTTTACTAAGGGGACGCAAAGCCCTAACCTCTTTGTCGAAAGCCCTTGAAAAATATATCGAACAAAAAATAGATGTCTTTTGACATCTCAAAGAGCGTCATCGTGTGCCGTGCGTCCCGCGTTCCGCCGCCGGTAACCTGTAGTATTCCTTTCCAATTTTCGTTCGGCCATACCTGGGTAAAATGGACCACTGCGAGCTGTTTTACGTGCACCGATAGCAGACGTTTTCACACGTGATCGGTTCAAGAGCAAGGTTCGTTGTCCCTTATAGGTCTGCATTACTTGAGGTTTGAAATTCTGATATTCTACCCCCTTCCCTTTCCACCCAGCGGTGTTTCCATTACAACGCGCTTAGTCGACAGTCTTGCGGCCGGGAACGCGCGCAAGAGCGGCAATAATCAAGGTGTTGGAATGTGGGATTAACACACCGCTGTTTGCGATTAGGATTGTCCTCTCGGTCTTAAAAATGGGAATAAGAAATCTGTTTGCGGTGGGCCCCAAGTTCCATAAAAAACGCGTCCCCACCCATACAAACATCATTGTGAGTGAGGCCGCAAGTTAAGCGAACCTCACTGTCTGCTGAACGAAAATTGCGTAGTTTTGGCTCCCGACCCAGCCACCTACGCTTTTGATACGGTTAGCTTTGCACTTACTAATTGCTGGATCATGCAGGTTTCAGTAAGTAGAACACTTTAAAATAGCTTTCCTGGGATATATCCAAAATGTGCACGCGTAATTTATATCATCTGAGAGCTGAGATGCAAGATGATGGGTCACGTAAATGATTTCAGCTGTTGCAATTGCGAGATGACACGATTTCCTCAGAAACTGGTGGCGAATGATGGCTAACAAAAGTGGAAAACACAGAACCAGAAGTTATCAGCTTCCTTCAAAACAGGCAGAATTCAATTGCTTTTTTTCTGCTGAGAGACCTTTGCTCTGGCGATTCCCCAGCTTTATAACGATATCAAAAGTAAAATTATGAACAGACGCTTTCAATGAAGACGCTTTTAATGACAAACGTCAACATCAGACACCAAAAAGGTTTTCATTGCGGTTTTCAACATTTCACAAATCGCACGGGCGCATCATAGGACCCACGCCACCCTCCGACCACACCACTGACCTCAGGGGTGCTCATACATCAGCCTCCGCCGTCAGCCTTCCGCTGACCTCGGAAGCATGCTCGCCGTTGGCGCAAAGCATGTTTGCCACCCCGTGTTATGGTGCTCGGCGACGATTAAGGACAGCCGCAGGGGGCTAACGCAGTGCAAGCGCACTTCATTGACACAAATGCGGTTCAAGGCTGGTCTGAACGGATACCCGACGGTCGGTGGTCTGCGCATGATCTTGATGAGGATGATTGTCAAACTTGATCCGCATTGCGTCCAATGCAGGCGTTTTCATCGCTAGCGGGCCTTTAAACGCGCTCACGCAAGATTGAGTGAGTGGTGCTCAAATGGGCTGAACGACTGTTTAGAACGGTCCTTTCCGAATGAGTTCTTGGTAGGATGAGCGCATAAAGCAAAATTATAACCCGTGAAAGGAAACGCGACATGTTTGGGAAAGGTGCACAATGCGCCCGGGAACACAAAACTTTTGCCACATGTGTTGCATGATTAAGTGTGAAGCTCCATCCTTTCATGGCGCCCACCTCGCCTCAATGTGAACAGCACGCTTAGCTGAAGAGAACTGCGACATTAAGAGGCCCACTTCGCGCACCACAAATTCGTGGCAGGATCGAACGAGTCGGGAACAAATATATCGTCAACGGTTATAAATATTAAGCATCATTTTTTTTCATAAAGCACTGCTTCCGTTGATGTGGATTGAGTTGTTGCCTGTCAGGGAGCGCACAATTTCTTGCCATCAGCTAGTCATGATAATCGACCTGGCCTACGCAAATGCCACTTCTTGGTCGGTATGCTTCAAGTTTAATATCTTTGATGCGTACTCCACGATCTTGAATTCTGATGGCAGGCTTCATATGTCTTCTAAACTCTGTTTTGTTTGGGCTATTTGTTGTATGCTTTGGCATCATTCAGCCAGGTTTTCAGCATCTTCCTGACTGCGCTAAATTGTATTATTCTGCCACGACGTTTAATAGGTAAATGAATGCAGATCACTTTTCGTTTACTTGCTCAAATGTAATTTACCCGGTTAGTTATCGTAACTAACCATGTACGTTTGAAGAATCATTGACATGGATTATATCACATACATTTCATGATCACATGTGTAATCAGTGTGCCCTGCGGGTGCGTCCACTGAGACGCCGCTACAGCCAGCTCACGGATCATCAGCGCCCTGGCACGCCTCATTGGTGTGGGTGCGTTCGCGGTCGGTGCAGCGGACACCGGCTGCCCATCTACATCGGCCACCGTCTCCGGCATCGGGCGGCCGTTGGTCTCGGGCAGGAGCAGGCCGGCGAGGCCGCCCAGCAGGGCGAGGCCGGCGAACACGGCCGACGGCGCGCTCTCGTGCAGCTCACTCACCAAGTCCACCACGAACGGCGAGAGGGCGGCGCCCACTCGTGCCGCAAGCTGGCGCAGGCCGCACGCCAGCGAGCGGACCTCGGTGGGCATCAGTTCGGCAGTGAACACCATTATCGTGTTATATGCGGAGGAGACACCGATCTTGGCGACCACGCCGAGTACCAGCCAGAACGTGGTGTCCTTCTGCACGAAGGTGAGTAACATGGCGGCGGCCTGCAGCCAAAGGAGGAGGATCAGCGAGGGTCGCCGTCCCAGCCGGTCCAGCAGGGGAAACACTAAGCTGGAGGGAATGTCTGCGAGACCAGAAAACACCGCCGCCAGATGCGGGCTCGCCGCCAGTTGCGTCGTGTCGAACGAGATACCGAAGTAGGAGCCGGCAATGATGAAGCCGAGAAAGACGGCGATGAGCGTTCGGCGGCGCATGTGCGGCGTCCGGACCAGCTGCAGCATCATTTGCAGCGGACTGTGGCCGCCGGCGGTCTTCATAGTGGTCTGGCGGGACAGCATGTCGTTCCGCGCCTCCGCCATCAGCTGCAGCACCTCCTCCTCTGGCAGCTCCCGACGGCCGTTCCAGCGCGCGCCCCGGCGCAGCACGGCACACGCCTCCGGGAACCGGCCCTGCAGCACCAGCCAGCGGGGCGACTCGGGCATCAGCCAGAAGTTGAACAGGAAGATAAGACACGGCACGGCGTACGCCAGCTGGAGTAGCCATCTCGTGCGGATTAGGTACGAGCCGAGCGCGACGAAGCAGGTGCCAAAGGCGAATGGCATGATTGAGACGATACCGATCGCGGCGCGCCGCTCGCTGCTGCACAGCTCCAGCATCAGCACGTACTGGCTGCTGATCATGGCCGACATGGCGACGCCCGTCAGGAAGCGCACGGCCGCGAAGCTGGCGTAGTCGGTGACGAGCGCGACGGTGAACGCGCAGGCGATCAGCAGCAGCATGGCCGGCAGGAAGACGGGCCGCCGGCCGAAGCGATCAGCCAGCTGGCCGCTCACCACCGAACCGCACAGGCCGCCGATCATCAGCCACGACTGCAGCAGTGAGAGCAGCGGCTTGCGGCCGCACACCAGCGTCCACTCGGTCACCACCGTCGACACGTACACGGACGGGTCGAACGCCCAGCGCTGACAAGCGGCGGTCGAGTTAGCCGCGTGGCAGCGCGGCGTATCGGACGGCAGCGAGGCGAAAGTGGCGTTGGCGGCGAAGCCGTCGGCGCATCTAAACTTGGGCGTGGCGCCGACGAACATCATGGACATGGAGAAGACTGGGAAGAGCAGCCACATAACGGACATGTACCCGATGAGCAGCGTTTGCCAGCGGCCGGTGCCGCAGCACCGCTCCAGCACGTCCTCGAAGAGCACCTCCGTCTTCTGCTCGGACTTCTCCTCAGCCTTGCCGCTCTCTGCCGTCTCCGCCATCGCGACAGCTTGCTTGGTCACGAGCACTCCCAGCGGTGTCCGCGTGCGTCGGGCTCAGCGACGCGTCACGCTCCTCTCAGCGCACTCCGTGACCCTGGCCCACGCACACGGTAGGCTCGCGGAGGCTCCGCGCTCCGTCGCCGCACCGCCGGACAGGCGCGAGTGCTTTACGTCCTTCCTACTACTGGTCGGCAGAACCTGCCTCCGCCACCCAACGAAGGCGAGTGGCCTTAGTTCCGCCGGCCGCCGCGACACGTCCGACCGGCCTCAGTGGCTCCCGCCCCACTGCAGCGGCCGTTTACGGAACCTCCTCCAGACGCACTTACCACGCTGCTGTTCTGGAAATATAGATATGCGTGCGCGCCCACTTTGCAATATGCATACGTTAGAAGCGGTAGCCGAAGTTGAGAACGGGTACAGCAACTGTAAACCTCTCCCAGTTCCCGCAAAGCTTAACCAAATTGTGTGGTCCGAGGTACAACAGGGCCACTTGAATTGTTTTCAAAGTACGGCTTTGAATATGTTGTCGGACCGTTCGCCAGTCGGCCTCGAGTAAAACCTTGACGTTTTCAGAATGATCCGATTTCTTCTTGGGTCACTATCTCTCACCGAACTTTAACCGTATTAAAGCGAAGCACCGTCGTTTGGGCTCGCGGCGTATCACAAGTTCAACCGTCATACGATTTGTAAGCCACGATTTCGTACGACACACAAGGTGGCTGGAAGGTTTTGTAATCATTTTACATGCAGGTTTGTACGTTTTTTTTTGTCGTAGTGACAAAAACGCCGCCGAACACAGTCTTTCCACCGCACGACACGAAAATACCGGACGCTGTAACTCCAAAACAACTCAACTGAAAGACTCGGAAATGTCACAGGCATCTTCAGTGCCGTTGGCAACTCATAAGACCCATTTTTATCAAGATTCGAGGGATTAGGGTGCAAAATTGACATTTGAGTGTGTAAAAACCGTGATACGTTCACATGTCGATGCTGTTTCGTTATCCCATTGAGCGTTTTATAATTCAAAAAAATCGGTAGCAAGACACCACTAGTCGCGTGTGGAGTATCGTGTTGCGGGCCTGAAGTGCATTTGCCGACAAAGATGGGAGTGGCAGTGGCGCCGAAAGTGGACTTTTTGGCGCTCAACTGGACAGTTTGGCGCTGCATGAGGAAAGGTGCCCTCGGGCGAAAGTCCACCCTGATTTGGCGCCGGTTTTGGCGCCGTGCGAGGACCGAATCGTAGAAATATGTTTGGGGTCCTAACGAACCACTGGTTTGATTGACAGCAACCGTCGTTAAAATGCCACGCTCAACAGCAAAACTTTAATATAAATATTTTGTTCTTGTCTCTTTCGTCGGCTTATGAGATAAAAAATACATTTGTTGGCGCTCGCCCTGGACTTTGGCGCCGTAAGCGCCCAGAATGGCTTTGCCATTAAAAACAAGTGTCAGTTTTTGCTTCGGTTAAAGAAATTCTTTGGCATTAGCTGGCATTAAGTAAATGTAATTATGCTGCGCTTGTTCTGCATGCTCTGAGCAATGATGGTGCATTAATATGCTTTCATATTCTTGTAGCACAACGTTTTCTATTTTCGATTTCCGAAATTTACGTGAAAACCTATGAGGATAATACAACGCTCGCTTGATCCTACAACGCATCTTAAGTTTTAGGTTTCGGTACAAAGGAGCGCACGGACAACCACGAATCTTTCGATAAGTGAAAGGGGACATGAGCGGCATATCCGTCCAAGGCAGTTAAGCTCACTTTTTGGTAAGAATAGGCCAGAAATTAATCTTTTCCATTTTAGCAAAGAAATACGTCCAATCTGGGCGCCATAGCAACGCGTTCTTCTCGTCCTCGTTCGGCGCCATTGAGGTGGACGGAGGCGTCATTATGGTATGCCATACTGATTGTCCACTAACGACGCCTTCAGAAAGCCACATTTGGCGCCGTATGTGGAAAACATCTGAAAGCATGTTGGAGCAAATAAATGCAGCTTAAATAGTGCAGAGATACCCATGAAACTTCAGGATAAAAAAGAGGATATTGACAGCGTTTTAGTGCGGCATGGATTAGTCCTTTGATTGTCAAAATGTGTCAGAAAGAGGTATTTTCCATTCCCAGAAATACATTAGGTCCAGTATGAGCGCCAAAGCGGCGATTTACCCTATGTGTCCTACGATGCGATCCTGTTGATTGTCCACTTTCAGGACGTTCAGAGAGCATAAGGTTGGCGTTGCATATGAAAAACTGTGGAATGTTGCTCCCATATATTCTTTTTTGATACATCAAACTCAAATGTTCTTTCAGATATATTTTGGGAGGCATTCTAGTTACCGTAACAGTTCGTTGATTGTGTATTGTTCTTATGATAATTGTCTTTCCATAAAAGTATGGGTGCATCACTGTTTCAACCGCCTTTGTGTGACATTTGGTGCTCTGGCATTAGCTTAAAAGCAGGGGTGTAATTTCCTTTTTGGTTAGATGCGGGAGGGCGATCCATTCTTCGTTCACCCCATCTTCAGGAAGAAAGTGGGCAAAATCCTGGGGGAAGCCTACTTGTTCGCATATTTTGGGGTCAGATTGGCAAATTTGGCACCGTTTGTATCTGCGCATGTACGCTTGTAGAACATCAATCTGAATCGAGCTGATATTTCAAGTGCCCAAAATTATGGCTGACAGTTGGGGGCAGATCTCTGCAGAAATAATGGCGATCTTGGCTAAAGAAATCGGGTCACAGAGCCTATGGTAGGTTAGTTTAGGTAAGGTTAAGTTAGGTAAAGCTAGGTTAGGTTAGGTTAATCTAGGCTAGGCTAGGTTAGGTTAGGTAAAGCTAGGTTAGGTTAGGTAAATCTAGGCTAGGTTAGGTTAGGTTAGGTAAAGCTAGGTTAGGTTAGGTTAGGTTAAGTTAGGCTAAGTAAGTCTATGCAGAACAGGTAAGTTGGGTTAGGTGAGGCAATCGGTCCAGCATTATCGAAAAATTTTCCACTTGCGGCCGTAGTTGCCTTCGATCAGATCATAGGTAGCACGAAAACTCCAATCAGCCCCAAAGACTCCGCATTCGGTCAAAAGTTGAGGGAAGAGAGCGGTGGGATTCTGAAACCATTTCGTTTGAGGCAACGCCCATATGCGCAATGTTGAACTCCGAGAAAGTTTTTGGAGTTCGACCGTGTATCTACAAACGCGGCAATCGTTTTAGTCTCTCCCGATTTGCGTGATCCTTGACTGCGTGGCAGACGCGCGGGGAGTTCGAGGGGGGGGGGGGCGGCGCAGGGGCGGGGGTCCAAAGTCTAGTATAAAATATAGCAGCAACGGCGTACATTTCACGACTGCCCAATGGGTTCCCATGTGAAAATGCCCTTCTTCAGGCCCACGGCTTTCTAAATCTTGAACATATATATGCATAAAAAGTGCATAGAAATGAAGCTTGAGCAATTCGCTTTCGATTTCTAGGATCAAAAGTGTGCGCCGTGGCACTCATTTTTGAACTACCAGGCGAAGGGTAGACCGATGCACGCGTCGCGACGTCCAGGCGAGGGATCGAATCCCGCTGCCGCCAACTCTTTTCCGCAGAGCTGAGATGGATCACGGAGTGAATACGGTCACTGACTGGTGCTAGAACCAATGAGTGCAGCAGTATTCTGGTTAGCTTTATA